ATAAAATTCGTTACACAAAGTTGATCTACAATCTATTTTATATGAAATTGGAAATTTGTACACCCTACCCTTAAAATTAGTAACGATTGAATCAATTTTTTCATTAGAAAAATCTTTCATGGTATCAAATTTCACTAATATGATTTAATATAATACAAATCTATTAATTTCTATTAATCATTGAAATATGTCCTTGATAACTTTTAATAATGTGCTTACTTATCCAATTTTGATAATCATTTAGGTGAACCGTATTCCACTCATCAGCTAACATAAAATTAGTTAATACGTAATGTCTAAGTAATGATGATTTGTGAATGATTAATATCATGTACCTTCATCATCATCGTGGATTATGTCTACAGCATCGATGCCTATTATTCAAATTTTGTTTATTAAATATTTTTGCAATTTAAAAAATATATTATTTTTATATTAGATTCATTACCCTTTTGTATTTTTGATGTGTTGAGAGGATAGTTACGATATTTCAAAGTTTCTATAATTTTTGAATAGTCACGACTCACATATAATTCACCATATGAAATGTTTTGTGGATTAGATGATTTTGATATGTTTTTGATAAATTGGTGCACGGTAATTGGTAAAGGGTTTTGTTGAACTCATTAAGCCAAAATAGTACTTTCTGATATAAATCATTAGAAGTTGGTCGTTCAAGAGGATTTGAACTCCAACATTTTAGCATCCATTCTTTATAATCTGGTGGTGTTCCTTCAGGAACTATTGGACGAACACCACTACATATGTCAAGAGCCAAGTGGATGTCATAAGCTCGATCAACAAATGGATTCTGTTTAGTAACAAGAAACCACATAATCATTCCAATACTATAAATGTCAGCCGCTTGGGTATAGGCATCTCCTCGTAAAAGTTCCGGTGCCATATATGGCAAGACACCATAATGTGTTTCAATTTTTGATTCAACTGTGTCAGCTGGACGACACAATCCCAAGTCACACCAGGATATTCTTATCAGATAATGAAGAAAATAGCATTTATATATAAATAAATAATTATCGTTATACTATTATTTTTTTTTAATTAATGCAGCAATTAATAACTTACGTATCAACAACATGAAGGATGTTGCCTGGATGGATATCACGATGAACTAGTCCTCTATTATGAATGTCTTTTAATCCATATATTATATGTCGTAAAATGTCTAATTTGTCCACCCAATTTAGATTTTTTTTAAGGTATTTTGTTAAATTACCGCCATGCACGTAAGGAAAAACCATAACATAATTATTTGTTATAGGATTTTTTGAGATACCATAACAACGAAGCACTGTACTAGATGCTGATTTAATATATGAATTGACCTAAACCAATTAATATACAGTGTTAACTTCTTATGTTACATTAGTTTTATATACAGATGAGCCACCATCAATAGAAAACAGATTAATATTTTTAAAATAATTAATAACTTTAATTTATCTTGATGAATTTTGAAGTTGTTTTGATAATTTAATAGTCAAAAGAAAGCTTCATATCTGACTGCTGAGCTTTCTTTTGGCTATTAAATCATCAAAATAATTTCAAACTTCATCGAAATTCGAGCTGTTAAAGTTAAGATATTAATTCTTTTAAAATGTTATCTAATTGTTTCTATTGACCGCAACCCAAATACTTATGATTACCTCATTGAGAAATCATCACTAATGCTTTTCGACTTTTTTAGTTCTTTCAAAGCCACAGGTGTGTTTGCATATCGACCTCTTCTACCAATTGCATAATTCCATATGCCAAATCCTTCACCCCAATTGGCTTTATATACAATTGCAAATCCGCCATTACCTTCTAATTCAATATTAGAGAATTGTTCATAAGGAATCCATTCTATGTATCCATTAGGATACTTTATAGAAAGTTGAGAATCACAAATGAGTTTATCAAGAATTGGATTGTCACTTCTCCAAGTAGAAAACTTTCGCCGAAACTGATCACGATCACAGGATTTGCACCATTTTAGAAATACATATAGATTTTTACATTCAGGGCACCTCTGTGGTTGGTTTATATAAGCAGGAGTTCTACCCAACCGTATTCTGTTGAGATGAAGTATTGCCTCTTTAAATAACATTCGACACTCTTCAGTCTCTTTTTCAATCGTTATGAGGTTCCTTTGATATTCATTCATGTTAATAACAAATTTGTTGAAAATCGATTCTATCTGAACTTTTGTCGTATTAATATTTTTAGTTATTGAATATAGCTCTGCAAGTTGGTCATGAATTTGATTCGAATTATTATTCAGGATATTATTTTCAAGTTTATCGCATATTTTCAAGCATTCTTGCATCTTATCTATAGATGCTTTCCAACCATTAATGTATTCATGTGCTATGGCATACATTTCTTGATATGTTTCATCATTCTCCTGGTTTGTGGGAGGTTCTATTGATGGATAAATCTTGTTCACATTTGCTAAAGTCGATTTATATTGTCCTCCTCCTTGACTATGGTCTACCCAGGTTTTCACTTCTTTTCTAAGCTCTAAGATATCTTTCTGTAATCTACCAGCCTTATCATTGAGAGAATGAAATAATACTTGATTTTTATTAAAATCATTTAAGGTGTCTTTGGATATTCCATTGGAGTTGAAAAAGTCTTCAATGAACTCCTTCTTGAACTCCATATTAGAGCTGTTTGCTGTAGACAAATACTTTTATGAACATACTATATAATAGAAATCATTAGCAAAGATTGGTTACGAACCTATGAATCAAAACAGAGATACTGTTGTATCCCTTTTGATACCCAAATTGACATTCAAATTCGAATACAAAGTAACTGTTAACGTACAAAATGCATTCAAATTTGTACATATCGACATGAATAACGCATACTGTAATCTAGTGACCTTATTTGAATAGTATTAAAGTTTCTTAGCTTACACGAGGACCCCTGAATATAAAGTAACTATTAATGTACAAGATGCATTCAAATTTGTACATATCGACGTTGATATTACACGGATAACTCATACTGTAATTTAGTAGTGATCTAAGTTGGCTAATAAAGTTTCTTAGCTTACATGAAGACCCCTGAATATATACAAAATCTTTGTTGTACTGTTACACCTGAAAACTACCTTTTATAAGTTCGTATGACTGATTACTAATATCGGGTTGTGCTGAAGTAAATGTATGTTGGTTGCAGTTAAGATCTAAGAGGATTTAAGTGAATTGCAATTTCAAAAGAGGCAGACAACTAAATGTATATGAAGATACAAATAGGCGTATGTGTGTATACAGTGGATAGAAAATAACGTGCCAATCGTAAATCTCTTTACGATATTCACGTGATCAAGACCGTTAATTCACTTAACGATTAGGTTGGAATTTTATTTAATAAAGATGAGTGTAGAAAACAAACCGTCAATGTGTAGAATTAGTATACCAATATTATAGAGTGAACCCACCAATTATTTCAGGGATAAAAGGCTTATAAAATATATCTTTTAGCATTAAATGCTGAAGAGAAAGCTCTATTGGCCCCTTTTAAAATTATTCTTCCAAATCCAAAGCCATTATTTGAGTACGAACTTTATACTAGATCTGTTGGTTTTCATTTTGCCGATGGAATCAAGAATTGGCTTAAAAATGAAAGATATGATGTTAAACTTATAAATACTATTGTTTTTACGAGCAAGTAAAAATCTTAAATATTTAAAACCCGAATTTTGCAAAAATACTACGCTGTATACTTTGAATTATCAATATAATAAATTTGAAAATGCATTATTAGATGCACTTTACAAGAATACTATGCTGAATTCTTTGAATCTTAGCTATAATGATTTTGGATCAGAAGGAGGAAAAGCATTAGCTGATGGACTTTGCAAAAACACTACGCTGAAATATTTGTATCTTAGTAATAGTAATCTTGGTTCAGGAGGAAGAAAAGCATTAGCAGATGTACTTTGCAAAAAAACCACGCTGGAAAATTTGGACCTTAGTAACAATAACCTTGGATCAGAGGGAGGAAAAGCATTAGCAGATGCACTTTGCAAAAACACCACACTAGCTTTTTTAGATCTTGGATGGAACAATATTGGATCAGAAGGAGGAAGAGCACTAGCAGATGTACTTTGCAAAAAAAACCACGCTGGAAAAATTGGACCTTAGTAACAATAACCTTGGATCAGAGGGAGGAAAAACATCTTTCCTATAATAATCTTGGGTCAAATGGTGGAAAAGCATTAGCAGGTGCTATTTGCAAGAACACTACTCTTACTTGTTTGTGTCTTGGTGCTACTGAAATTGGATCAGAAGGAGGAAAGTATTAGCAGATGCATTCTGCAAGAACACTACGCTGACTTCTTTATTTCTTGAATCGAATAATCTTGGGCCAGAAGTCGGAAAGTTATTAGCAAATGCACTTCACAAAAATACTGCTCTGACTTCTTTGTATCTTTACAACAATAATCATGGATCAAAAGGCGGGAAAGCACTAGCAGATGCACTTTCCAAGAAAACCACGCCAACTTATTTAAATCTTGAAGGAAATAACCTTGGATCAGAAGCAGAGAAAGCACTAACAGAAGCACTCTACAAGAACGCTACTCTAGCTTCATTGTGCTAGTGATTTTGTATTTAGCGGGTAGTCACCTTTGAAGTAAAATCATGTCAATTACATGTTTATACACATTAATATTAATTATTTATAAATTAGTAAATAGGATGTCCTTTTTCTTCAAATATTGATTGATGTTTTGGGTTTAGTTTTGATATAATCTAGAGGCATATAATTTATTCTTGTTTGTTGCTCTGGTTTTACTAATATATTTTTTTCTATCGCTATATACATGTAAAACTTTTGTGCCAACAAGTTTACTTAGGTAAAGATAGGTAATCTCAGTATAAAATAAATTTATTGTATTAAAAAAAAATTTTACCCATTTATTGTATAATAATTTTTTTTTTTTTTGGATTACTAAGATATTTCATTTTTTGTCTTGTAAATAAACTTCTCGATATAAAATTTTACATATAAATGCAGTTTTATTAAATTAATGGCATTAAATTTAAACACTTTTTTTAAATACAATTATCTGCTAATTTAAATAAATAGTTATAATTTTAAATAACTTTTATAATTTGTTAAATATTATTTTTGATTTTATATGATTTTTTAAAATAAATATTAAATTTCTTGATCAATTTTTTGTCATAACCTTAATTTGAAAATTTAATAGTAATTTTATAATAAAAAATAAAGATGTAAAATGTCAGAATTTAGTTAAATTAGGTTGGACAAAATTGAGATTATTAAAACAATTTTTTAATAATTTTATTATTAATGTAAAAAAAACAGTAATTATAAAATGCACCATAGGTGTTGTTGGTGTTAATATGTTTTTGGCGAAAATTTAGGGTTAGGGTGCAACTTTAGATTAAGATAGGGGTTAGATATAAAGGTCCAAATTTTAGTTAGCATAAGGTTTTTTGGGGTTCTGAACATTTTACTTAGTACCCCTGAGAGGTGTTAGCTAGTACGTTTTGAGATATAGCCAATTATGGTGTTCAACACTATAGGTGCAGATTAGTAGCGTTGTATAACAATGACAATAAATAAATAAATAAATAAATAATACTATAAATATATTTTTATGCGAAGAAATAATCATTAAAAAGAGAACATAAAAAAATAATATAAAAAGAGAATATAAAAAGAGAATACAATATAAACATTAATAATATTTATTACAGTATATTATGACTGAATTTATTCTGGATGCATATGCAAAAATTACATAGATAATCTTAATTAAAATAATGTAACAAAAAGTTTTTTAAAAATATAACCAAAATGAATTGTTTTTGTAATGGTAAATATGAATAAAAATTATTTAAATTATTAAATTATGTAAAAAATAAAATGCATAGTATGATGTAAAAAAAATATATAAAAGAAATAATGCAAATAATCAAAAAATATTATTATTATTAAACATTCATGTAATTAATCATTTATTATGCATTTCGCTTTTATTATCAAAATTAACATGATTATACTACACTGCTGGTTTCTTATTAATATATTCAATATCAAAATATAGTGATCGATTCATTAATTAGACAATTATAATACCTTAGATTTTTTAATAGATTACATGACAACACGACAAATCAGTAATTAAATATGATGCAACCTTAATTTCTCTTAAATAATCAACAAATTAATTTTTATTTATATCCAAATACAAATTCTTAATATTATTATATACAATAATATCTGAAAATTTGTTATTAAGAATGGA